AGGGAAACAGAGGCAAAAATCCAAAATAGAAAAATATTGAAAACCAAACAAAACCAATAAGCATCAGGAAAAATACTCGAGGGAAGCAAAAAACTAGTGAGCAACTAACATCTTCAATACACAGAAACCAGCACTGAATTAAGGCTCTGGTGCTCTTTTAAGCCCAGCACTATGATTATAAAGATTTTGTACACCTGTGTAGGCTACCCAAGTTCTCCACAAAGATCCTCTATAGTAGAGATGCACAACTCACATTAACCCACACACAGGAACCCTCACAGTGAGAGATTTTCGTCCTGATAATTCGTAGCCTCGTGCCAAAGGTTAGAGCCTAAAACAGCAGAAATCTCTCCTGCTTGCCTCTATATCCTGGAGATGTACAATTTCTGAAGAGAAGAATGATTGTAGTTAATTATGTTCTAGGCAGAGAACATTCTACATCTTGCTCTTGTTGGCAGCATTGTACCATTTGTAATGGAGGAGGTAAAACTGGACTCAATGATGGGGGAAACAAAAGAGGTGCTCCCCCATCTAAACATAAGTAATAAATACAGGCGCATCACCAAGGAGAAGCAATAATGAAGAACAAGAGTTGGACAAGGGAGGACTAGTGTTATAAAAATATAATAATTTTATTGTGTATTTATAAATATAAAAATATGTAAGTTTATTTCTAACTCTAGAGTTAAGAATTAAAAGCTGGCTGAGTGAAAATGCAAGTATTTCCAATCACAGCCAATCACAGTTTAGATCTGACCTGCATCAAAGAGCAGTTCTTCTGCTCATGATCTTTGATTAAACTTAACAGAACAACAAAAAAAAAAAAACTTCTTAATGTCAGTGTTCTTTATGGTCAGCCTTCAAGCGGTTACTAATAAGCTCAGCTTTGCTTTTATGGCTGCTGTGGTATATTAACTTCTGATTGCACCTTTTTCAAGCAGCATTTCAGTATATTTTGATAATCTTCCCTTGGATCATAGGATGTAGTATTAACAGTTGCAAAGAACACACACACGTGGACTGACAAGGATTTTTTAATTATATTTGAATCCAACAGTAGATATAACATGTTACATCCTTTATTCAAGACAAAAAAGAAGTGCCTACATTCACATACACTGTTTATGTTGTAGTGATAAAAATAATATGAGCAACCAGCAATTCTTCAACCAGTACTATAGCCAGTTACCGTATTCAAAAAGAGACTGAACAGATACTACTGGACAAGCATATTTGTTTGTAAAGGAAATATACATTTCTAGAGCAGAATTAATTCTGCTGCTTAAATAGGAGACATAATTTGAATAAAAGGACATGGACTTCATTATATTTTATATTGCCATGAGAAAAAATTAAGTAGAGCTGCTCGGCAAGGAAAAACTTTAGCAGCGATGCCTTGCAGCAATTAGATGCAGGCCTCTGGTGACCGGCTACACTGATATAAAAATTGATTGGATGAACAACATGTTAGTTGCTTGAATACAAGGAAAGTTTTATTTTAAATTTCTGATACTTAAATGAGTAATTTTTAAATAAAGTAAGATTTTAGAAAAAAAAAGAAAACATTATGACGACCGTTGTCATATCACTCATACAGTAGTGATGACGCTCCATGCAGATCCATATCTGTTAATGGTATTAATGCATTGTTTTTGTCAAAACATAAACAATAACACCACATATGTATAATAAAGCAAGTTAAACACAACAAGTGGGTGAGAAAGTGTTTAATATATAAACAGACATAAAATCGGTTAAATACACACAGTATATTTGATCAGAATAAAAATATATTCAACTGTGGTAATTGTTTGATTACACTGTGAAGGCCTGTTGCCATTGGCCTAGAAAAAAGACAACATTATCAAAAGACAAGAAGATTTTCTGAATGAGTAAATCCTTTTACAAACCTGCTGTGAAGACAGCTGGTACTCTGTGTTTATCTGCCTTATCCAAATCTAACCTGACTGTACTGCTGTGAGTTTAAGTCGTGTAAAACTACAGGTAATCTGCTTTAGGAAAGAGACGTCAATCAATTTACAATGTACCGCTTATTTGTTCTGCTCAAAGACAAAAGCAAATGTAGTAAATACTAGAAAAGGAATTGCTGATTATACTGAGGTATGTATTTAACATTGCTTCCCTTCTAATTGTACATGATTTAAGTTCACCCTACAGATCAAATAAGATAGAACAAAGGGGAGTTCAATGTAAATATAACTCTTATCTGTATTTTTGTACAGTATTTTTGTTGTATCTAAACTTAATTTGTTGTACTTAAACTTAAACCCAAAGTAAAACTTTAGCCTTATATTCACAGCATCTACCTGCATGTACTGTATCTGGTCGTTGATGGCAACCCATAAAATAAGTCCCTTTTTGGACCCCTGTGTCACTCTGTGTGCTGCCATCTACTGGCCTGTTTAAGTACATTAAAACATCTGGATAAATTTAGAAAACCAGTAAGAACAGAAAGATGTCTTGAATATAAATTAAGTATAGCCAATAAAAGAGGGATAAATAACCAATAAACTAAGTAACTATAGAATTAGCAGCAACATTAAAGATGTGCAAAATGTCAACAGCTTGTTATTTAAAGGGACTGAGAATTGGCTCTGCAAAAAACAATCTTGAATCTACCACCTTTTAAGCTTGTTGGGAGCAGTGATTGTTATTAAGTCTTACAGGTGCTGCGAGGAGAATCTGCGATAACGCTCCTTTGAGCATTTAAGTTGCAGCAGTCTGCCAATGAAGGACCTATCCAGTTCAGAAACAGCTTCATGCTTTGGGTGGTAGACAAGGGCGTAGGTTTGATTTGAACTTTGGTAGGGACACTATTGGTCTGGTGTCATTGGTGCTATGCAATATGCATGCCCTTTTTTATGCTCGATGCGAGCATCTGTACTGATAAGAGGAATTCATTGTTTAAAGAGAAAAGCAACATTTTGCTCCATTAATAAAAATGTTATAAGCTCTACACTCATTAGATGCTGTTTATTAATGTTTGAAGTATCACCGGCTCTGATCAATGTGGAATTAGGACTGTTTTCCACTTTGAAAACGGTTTCATTTGAACGACTAAGAGAGAAGGTAAATACAGTATTTTCTTCTGAAGATATAGAATTGTGCAGAGTTAAACCCCACTCTAATATTTGTACCTACTATTCTCTCTCTGTATCAAGCAAAAATAATACATTCATTAAAATATTAACTTCACTATAAAAGTTGAACATCTGGGCTGTAGTTACTCTGTGTCGCACATTTCATGTATTTCATCTGGGGCTAAAAAAATGAATCATAATTGATTATTTCAATAATCGTCAACTAATTTAGTAAGTGATTCATCATTAACTGGAGACTTTAAAACATACAGTAATATAAATGTAAAATGTGCCTTTCCCCACAGAGCAACCCACTTAGATCAGTTATTATATCAAAATTGTAAAAATAAAAACAAAAAAATGAAAACAGTAATATCAACTTAATATCGGTAAAAAGGAAACCCTCACATTTTCTTTTTTAGTTGGCTGTGGCTAAGAATCAGAAATGTTGATGGATTACAGCCTTTATTTGCCCATTTTTCCAGCAGTCTTCAGAACTCCTGGCTGACTCAGAATATTTCGTTTTATGAAAGAAAAAAAAAGGTTTTGGTTTTTTAGTGTACATGATATTCATTTTTTTTTTATTGGGACTAGTTTTGTAGCCTAATATTAATTTCAGTAACCGCTGCATTCTAGTGTGAATAAATTTTCAAGGCGCGGACTACAAAACAGCCAATCAGAGAGAGAGAAGGCGGAACTTAAGGCAGAACAACCAATGAGAGTGGCGTTAAACAGCGCAGCACAGTTCCATGGCTGCTACATGAAAGGGACAGGACAGACCAGGCAGAGGAACTGCGAGAGGAAAAGAAGCCACTGCTGCAACAACTACTGCTGTAAATTATAAACATGTTGCTCACATCCAATTATTGGTCGGGACAATTAGGTCGGTTCAAAATTTTGGTAGGGACATGTCCTTATGGTCCCTATGCAAACCTACGCCCATGGTGGTAGACATTATCCAACAGAGATGTTAATTTAGTTAAGAGTCTTTTTGTGTCCCATCACCTGCACTGAGTCCACAGGGCATCCAATCACAGAGCTGGCCTTACCAATGAGCCTATCCAAAGGATTCTTCTCAGCCACAAATAAGTCACTGCTCCAACAGACAGAGTTGGTTCTGCTGGCTGTTCCTTAGTCCACTGTCTGTGATGATGCCGACTATGGCAGAGTCATGATGTAGGGCGACAGTGGCATATGATGCAGGAGCTTGTTCTGTACTGGAGGGTTGCCAGGATGAACCCTGGCTCCATCCATCTCAGTTGTTGTGTCCTTGGGCAAGGCAACGCACTAGCTTTGCCTACTGATGGTGGCCAGTCGGCCCAATGGGGCCTGTAGGAGGCAGCCTTGCTTCTCTAAGAGTGCTCCAGAGCAGTTGTGGCTACAGTCTTGCTCGCCACCATCAGTGTGTGAATGTTTTTATGAATGAGTGATTGACTGAATGTAGCACAAAGCGCTCTGGATTCATTGGACATGGTTTTTGCCTCTTCAGCCAAAGTTAATATTTGTGTTGTTAAAACTCATTGGAATGTTTTTTTTCTTTGGTAAAGCAGATTTGATTTGAATTTAAATTAAATTATTTGACTTATTTTATTTTTAATTTGTTAAATTATAGTGCAGTGCATGCAAAATGAAAGGCATTAAGGTAGAGAAAAAGAGCCAGCTTCTACTTTGAAAAGAACGAAGCTGTTAAAAGGGCACTGAATGTCTCTCCGAAAAGAGGACTAAGATAGGGTAGATGTTGAGAAGGTGGAGCTGAACATGCAGAGGAAGCTGAGGATTTTCCACCTGACAGATACCAAGGGGAAAATAAAACAAAATACTGCTATTTGGAGATAAAAAAAAATCCACAGCTTCAGTGTGAAAGCTTTATATTTGTGTTCCTTATTTTGGACATCATGCTTGAAAAGAACAAAAATATCCTTTATTGTCCCTCAGCGGGGAAATTCAAGCGTAACAGAAGCAAACTGACATACCAGATTCACACAAGTGTAAAAAATAATACAAAACAAAAGTCATGATATGAAACTGGTCATTTACAGCATATGAAAAGAAAGTTTGCAGCTATTAAAAATATCATGCTCAGACTCAAACGAATGTGCAACTGAGAATATAAAAAAAAAATCAACATGCACATGCATACATTGCCGCAGTCAATTAATAACAGTTTCTTCATTTAGTGCTATTATAAATATTTTATTTGTAGAAATATTAAAATGGTTTACTAAAAATGGGGGCTATATACATTTAAGAGATATATTTTATGTAATTTTGTAGTCCTGACTTCATATATAAGATCAGCTCATTAGTGACATGTTTTTAAACAAGTGTTTAAAAAATCCTAAAGACAATTTTTATTCCTAATGACAATATAAAACAAATATGTGAGGTTGCTATATTTCATGCATAAATTAAGTGGAAATAATCAATTGAATTTTCCTTACCTTATAATGGATCATGGCCCATGGCATATTGCTTAATTAATAATGGTCTACAACTCATGAATGCAACAGGGTGGATAATTGTTTTAGGACAAAATAAAATCTGTTGTACAAACTAAAACAGGTAACTTTGGACATGGTAGAAAATTCCATACAGTAATACAAACACAAACAAACAATGTACCACTTCCTATTTTAGGTTGTTTAAATATGGTATGTTTCTATTTCTTTGCAGTCTGTAATAAATGAACATTCACAAAAGCAATACTGGAATCTTCAAATAAACTTTGAATAAATGTTTCTCCTTTAAAGCCTCTCATTTCCCCATATCAGTCCATGGGCTGACATGCATCATACATAAAAGGCAAAGTGGCAGAAAACATGATTACATGAAGCATTCTTTCATGTAATGCAGAGAGATATATGTAGGTTTTTTCACAAGTCTTTCACATTCAGTCTTTTTTTTTTTACATTCAGTTTTAAATTTCTGTTTGTGCTTCTTTGCAAAGGAGGAAATCCCTTATTTATGTGGCTGCATTCCTCAGAAGTTTTATGTGTTCATATTCACACGATAGGTGTCCAAAACAGCAGCTGTATGATTTAAGATGCATAGTCTGGCGGGCAATAGAAAGTCAGAGGAGGTGACGTTTGGGAAGTGTTCAGTTTGACAGTTTAGTCTAATGCTGATATCTTCTGGTCTTTGCATGAGGAAAATCCATTCCCAAAGTCCTGAGTTTGAGGCTTAGCTGTAAGGAGGTAGTTGCAAAGTCCCCTTGAAATTCAGCACTAAACTAGTAGAGTGCAGATGAGGTCTTTAGGGAATGGGAAGCACTGGGATTGAGGCTGTGTGGCGTCATCAGAGGTGAAGATCCTCGACTGTGGTTTGAAGAAGGGGATCCTAAAAAATAAGAAGAGTATACATAGGAAACTGTGGTATTTTTTTTTGACTGCACACAACTGTATGTTTACTCGTCCAGAAAATCCTCACCGTTTTCCATGTAGCAACTCTGATGTGGCGACATCGACGCACAGGGTTGCTCCTGAAATCTGATCTTGGAGCCTCTTCCTCGTAACACATCTGTTATCTGCAGCAGATTTTATATTTCACTAGAAAATTTCTAAAGAAATTTTGAGGGGGGCCACCTACTGCCCGTCTGGGTAACTGGGCCAATACGGCCCTGGCAAGTGACATTGGGGCTCACCAGACCAACTGCTTACGCCTTTGAGGGCTGCTGAGGGAAGGAAAGAGGGCTAGGTCATGGGCAAAGAGAGCTGTGTGCCACTTGTGCTGAAATCTGGGAAATAGACGTGCACAGCATAGGATGCGCAAGGGTAATATGGGTTGTCCATATTGAACCGCAGTGGGTAAAGCGCAGTTGGCGGGCTCCGCCCGCCTGCTAGGAGCCCTTGCAGCGATGAAAAAAATCACCAATGGCGGGCTCCACCCGCCTGCTAAGAGCCATTGCAGTGATGAAATCACCATTGGCGGGCTTCGCCCGCCTTCTAAGAGCCATTGCAGTGATGAAATTACAAATGGCTATGAGCAATATGCCAGAATGTATGAGTGTGTATAAGGAAGAGGCTTTTATTCTGTAGAGTCCCTGTAGTGTTATTTTGAAAGTCTATCATGGATATGCATCAAAAGATGGGTCATGCCCAGCAGTGATATAGAATCCATTTCCAAATGTTAAATCACTGGTTTTCCATGTTATTAGGTGAATAGCTGCTGTATTACAGAGTAAATGGGAGACTTTTATTGTGAA